CCTTATACTGTGAAACGTCTGAAGATGAACATGCAGTCCTTCTAAGGAAAACTAATTTTCTGGCATAAAAATAGGAAAATTCCTTGTGGGAAAGAATCATTCAGGTATTCACAGCTTTAACTGCAGTTTGTCTTGTAGATGCTGCGCAGTCAAACCAATTGTGTTATTAACATATGCATGTGCATTGCAATGGCAGTAAAGATTCATTTGCAATTCAGAATGTCTCCTTTTGCAAAGGTCTGTTGATCGTGCAGGCATGTGCATGTGTGTTAACCATGTGGTAGCCTTCCTCCGTCTTTGTTAGCCTCCGAAAATTTTTTTTGCACTTGCAGAAGCATATAGATATGCCCAAGGGAGCTCCAATAGTAGCGTCTCTGGGGAGATGACACACCAGGAGCTTCGGTTTCCGCGATACATGGAAGGTATGTCGTGCCCTGCTTTAGAAAAACTGTCATGGCAGACAACGGCAAGCAAGCAGGGTTTTACGGTGACAGGATATAAACTGTTTCTTCTTCTTTTTTTTATTTCTCAGCTACTGCTGTTATTACAAGATTTTGTTGAGTGATTTTTATGATTTGACATTTTATCATTTATTGATCTTTTTTTTTCTTTCAGTTTCCTCCTGGCATTGATAAATTCGTGTGTGTCACTGCAGTGTTATAGTCTTAGAGTTAAAGAGACACACCCACAATGAAATGTCATTTATCAGTTATTGAAGGTGTATTTAGACACAAACTTAAACCCAACCAAGTCAAGAGTATATCACATTTCCCTGTTACTTTAAGCAAAATTGAATATTAAAAATCACATTTTGTTTCACATGATGTTTCATTGATAAAATATGAAAAACATTAGAAACACGAGTTTAGAACTTGGAGTTGGGATTATCATAGAATATATATTTTATAGTAAAACAAACCAGGAAAATTGTCTTAGGGATAAATGGTTAAATTATATTGTTTGTGTTTGAGTGCCCCTTCACACCAATCAAAAAGCTGATGCTATTCAACAATGAAAACTTAAAAGCATTTATACAGGTATAATTATATGAATGTCAGATTAATTTTATTTAATCTTCAGATTGACTGGGAAATATTATATCTGGGGACAAGGCCACCTTCATTTAATGATTATTTTATAATAGTAAAAAAAAACTTCAGAAGTTAGTGCTCTTGCTAATTATGAAGTATCATATATGGAATAAAACTATTCATGGGAATAGGCTTTGAGTAAAACTGTGGACAGTTCCTCTTTCATCCCAAAATAAAATCTCCCATCAGTGTTCTTGTAAACGTCAGCTTTTTTTCCATTTATTGGGTGTTGTGTCATCTTTAACTTGCCATTCCTGAGTACTGATGGTGCTTGTATTCTCCGTTATACCCCTATTTCACATAGACCATGAATCCTGCAAATCGCCAGGAATTGACAAACACTAGTGGGCTTGATTTGGTCTTAAAGTGCAATTTAAGATTACAAATAGTCTTACATGATCTTAAACCATGAGTAAGACCATTTCTGGACTAACAGCCAATAAGTTGTCTCCCCTTACACATTCTCCCATTGTGAGCAGAGGTGTCCTCTATTGTGAGGGGAGGAAACTGCTTGGCCACTTAAGTACACGTTAGATCATTATTGAACTTAAAAGCAGATTCAGTCCATTTTAAGACTACTGCTGTAATGATTAAGATCATGTAAGATCACTGTTTTTAAATTTCACTTTAAGACCAAATCCAGCCCACTAGTGAAATTTCAGGATTCGTGGTTGAATCGTAATCATGATTGATCAAGAATTGCAAGAACTGACCACGAATATATACGAATCTGTTAAGAACTTCACGAACTGATTACGATTTAACCAAGAATCCTGATATTTGTCAATTCCTGGTGATTCATGGGATTCGTGGTCTGTGTGAAATAGGGGCATTAAGCAGGGAGTAACCACCGCTCAGAACTCTGGAACTAGAAAAACTTCAGTAGCAGTGTCCTGTGTGTCCGTGTCTACCACAGTCCTGTAGCTCTTCGGTTGAAACTGATGAAATATTGTATATATTTGTGAATTATGTTTGCACTGACCTGTGACAAAGGATATGTTTTGACTTTGATCTTGATCTTGGTCTGTTTCACTATGTATTTTTGTAAGTTACATACCTTCTCTTTTCATTGATATGTATTTACTGATAACACTCTCCTATTTACGTCATAGCACAGTCTGGTCTCAATAAGGGCCTACAGAATAGCCTCTGTACACAGGTCCACTGCTGGCCATGGTACTGTATTGGTTTCTACAGATCTGTAGCCAGCAATTTCAATAAGGGGGAGGGGTCTTTTTCTTTTAAAAATGGACCTTTGTTGATTCCACTTGCATTTGATAAGTGACATGGAACCTAGATCAAATTTTGATTCAGAGCTGACCTTTTCCCTCACTGAAAGGGGGGTTCCCTAAAATGCTCTTAACCTACCCCCCCCCCCCCCTTTTCTACGAGCCTGCACTATTCTAGCACCTTTTAGATTTCAAGTATATGTATGTTTGCTGACCTTTACCTTTTCAACTTTATAGTTATTCCCTAGGATAGTCATTTTTACCAATCATATTTGATTATTTTTTATTCTTTATTACTATTTGCCACTGTATATATAAAGCCTTGGGCTGGTTTTAGCCAAGGATTACAATTATATTTTTGTGATATATTACTGTAATTTGAAAAAAAAAAATAGTCTGGAGACTCTCAGAGATCTCATTTCTTGCATGCATAATGATATGTTAATTGATTTTGAAGACACAAAATAACACTTCGTCAGTGGCTTATGTTAATGATGCATTTTATTGTAAATCTTTTTTATCATTTCCCATAGGGCCCCAGCACAATGCATGACACTTACACTTTAACTCGTTTCCTTATGGTCATATTTTCTGTGCATGTGATTTTCTCAAATGACTCATCTGGAAATGATGAATGTGAACTTGACCTTGAATAATTTATTTGTTTGTTTTCCTCCACCGAAACCCTACGAATATTTGGCTGTGTCGTTTGTCTTTTCAGTAGGTTTGGAAGTGAATGAGACATAGTTGGTGATAAAAAGTGATTGTTTGATGTCTCATTTTTCCAGAAATTGTGCGAGCTTTCACTCATGTGATCAACCAGGGCTGGGCTATGTACTGGGGAACATCCAGGTGGAATGCCATGGAGATTATGGTAAGTTATAGTGTGATAGCTGTGACATTGTGGTAGGTGTGACTGTGTGTTAGATGTGACTGTGTTAGCTGGTACATTGTGGTAGATGTGACCATGTTAGCTGTGACAATGTGTTAGGTGTGACAGTGTGTTAGCTGTAATATTGTGGTAGGTGTGACTGTGTTACGTGTGACAGATTGTTATTTGTGACAGTTTGTTTTGATATTGTGATAAATGGGATGTGTTGGGTGTGACAGTGTGTTAGCTGTGGCAGTTAGTTAAGTATGATGTGACAGTGTGTAAAGTGTGATATTGTGTTAGGTGTGACAGTGTGGTGGATGCGACAGTGGGGTAGATGTGCCTGCTTTCTTTTACTTATGCCTAATTTGTACACACTTGATTGTTTCAGATAAAAAAAATTAATTGTCCAATTTTCTCTTCAGGAAGCCCACTCTGTGGCCCGTCAGTTCAACTTGATTCCACCAATTGCAGAGCAGGCGGAGTATCACCTGTTCCAGCGTGAGAAAGTGGAACTAAGCATGCCAGAGCTGTACAACAAAATAGGTAACAAATGGACATCTAGTGGAGAAAAAAATGCACCAATCCACTGAGTATTTTAAAAATTTTAAATTCACTGCCTACTACCTCATGGCACCGGAACAATACAAAAGGTTTATTGTATCGTCCCTGTTGTGGCCAATTAAAAAATCAAAATTCCAAAGTCAGTCCAAGAAATGCGGTTCCAGTGTTTGATTTGCTACCTTTTAGAAATTCAAAGCAAATTAATGGGTGCATTCATGAATTGTTTTTTATTTATTTATTTACATATTTATTTATTTATTATTATTATTATTATTTTACATCTGGATCAGTTATAAAGTCATTGTGTCTCCAGGTATAGGTACCATGACCTGGTCTCCTCTAGCTTGTGGTATTCTGACTGGGAAATATGATGATGGAGTGCCCATCTACTCCAGAGCAGCCACCAAGGTAAGTGGGGGCACACTGTTACAAGACAAATTTACAATGAGGCGTTTGGTTTTGAGATAAATTAGTTTTTTTTGTCTATAAATGTGCATCAAACACGAGCACACAAGCATGCATGAACATTTACACACACACGCACGCACACACTTGTACACACATACACACACAGACACACACACACACCTGTATAGATTATGATGCGTCTTGCAGTTCTGTGGCTTTTCGTATACACAAACACACACACACACACACCTGTATACTGTACAATATGTCTTACAGGGCTATGGCTGGCTGAAGGATAAGATTCTATGTGAGGAGGGGAGAAGACAGCAGTCTAAGCTGAGAGAGGTGGCAGGGATTGCAGACAAACTGGGATGTACACTAGCCCAGCTGTCTATTGGTGAGATACCTGAATACATATATATTTTAATATTTAAAATTATAGAAAATAAACTTTTCTTTCTTTCTTTCTCCTTTTTTTCTTGATTTAATTTATTATTGTGGAGATATATCAAATATGGACCAGTAGGACAATTTTTTGCTAAAATGGACTGTAAATTTAAATAGATACTTGCCTATATGCCTAATTTATCTAAATTAAAATTGAGCTCCCATGCATTGCAGTGTTTAATGCAGTATGTGTCACTATATTTGTAGCCTGGTGTTTGAAGAATGAGAATGTTCAGTGTGTGTTGCTGGGAGCAGCTTCTGTGGATCAATTGTACGAAGATATCCAGGCATTGCAGGTAACATCTCACCTAACACATCCAGTACAGTCACATCTAACACACTGTGATAGATATTTATAAAGAGAGTTTCTCCTTCATTATTGGTAGTAAGGTAGATGATAAAGTTCAAAAA